GAGAGCTTTGAACCCTTTGGAACCCGCCACCACAGCAAGTAACAGAGACGGTCTTTAGACGGTCTTTAGTCTAAAAAACGGTACCAGCTGACAACGGCAGGTGTTCATCCCGCTCTACCCCTCCTGCGTCCGCCTTTCCTCGGTGACACTCGCTCGGTACCCAATACCGCGGGCACCCCTGACTGCCTGCCTTGTTTATTTGAACGTGGAGTGGTACTCGTACAAATCGGTCGTTTCTCCATCGCAACGCGATCTACCGCAGTCCATCTATTCGTTAGAAGCCCACATCAAACCATTCAACTAGTCAGCCCTCTCACCCGTGTAGTCGCAAATTTCGAGCGGCCTATCCAAAAACTCCGGGAAGCTCGACGTCAGGGTTCGGTACACGGCCGTCAGGTACTGCGGCGAGGGGGGCACATAGGTCTGCACCAGGTATTTCGACATGATGTACGTAATGGCCGACGAGGCCACGTCGTTGGAGCCAGAAGTGGCATTGGTGTTGTCGTCGTCGCCGCCGTCGCCATCCTCGGCCTTGCTGCCTTTGAAGGCAACGCAGACGTTCACCATCACGGCCTGTGTGCGAACGTCGGATCGGCGCGTGGAAAGCGCTGACATCTGTTGAGGTGTGCTGGTTGCGTGGATTGTCACCCGACGACAAACCTTACAAACGAAAACAAACCAAAAACTAAGACGAACAAACAGAAGTATACAAACGAGATGGAAACATAACCGAGAGGGGTTTGTGCCACGCGACGGCTGTTGGGGTTGAAAACGGCACCCGTTTTCGCGGGCCACTGCGACAATAAAAATTATCACCACCACAACCCCCATAGCTCAGGATGCCGATCAAGAAGCACCCGCAGTAGTAATGGCAAAGAAACCGCAGGAACAAGTGCTGAAAAAGCCTCTTTGTTCTCGACGACGGTGCCGAAGAAGAAAGGGATCGAGTAGCTGCGAGCACTACCAAGCTCGCCTCTTTGGAATAGCCCCCTAGCTTCACGGCCTCGTACAAATCCAGGATCTCCATCTGAGAGCAACGCCGTCCGGTGGGAGGGGAGGGAAGGGGGGGAGGGGGGGCAAGCGAGTGCGGGGCAGAGCCGGAGAGGGAGGAAAGAAACCAAATTGGTACAAGTGCAAACGTGCAAAAGACGGATGGTGAAGGTGCACGATCACCTTTGGTTCTTGCGCCAACGAAAGTCAGTCACCTTGGGTTCTTGCGGCGAGCGAAAGTCAGTCACCAGGGAACCAAGAGAATAAAGGAGATACGACCACGAAGCGCAAGCAGCGGCGTTCAACTCGACAGAAAAGGGAGAGCACAAAAAAATTTTAGGTTCGGTAGAGTGTCCCCGCGCTGTCCAGGCGGTGAAGCAAAGAAGAGCGGCGCCAACAAGATGATTAATTGGAGCACATAAGCGCACGCAGCGCAAGACGGTTCTGCTATGTTCCTACTAAATAGAGGTGTCAAGAACAAATAAAATTAATGCATGTGAATACCTCACAAGCAGACGCGTACGTCCACGAGCACGCAACATCCGCACGTGCAGGAGACATGCAGTAGCCGTGAGTACATTTGAAAGGTCGACACCCACACGGCGCAGAATGAGTGAGGCGATACGGAAACGCACTCCGCGTGTAGGGCGACCAACATGTAGTACAGGCCACACGAGACCCCCCCAAAACAAACGTCTTCTGGCCTGGTAGCCGACGGTGTGGAGCTGCTTACTCCCTCGGTTCAAAGGATTCACCCACATCGCCACCCCGGAGCTCGTTCAGTGGAGATGGAGCTCGTCCTCCGTCTGAATTCACCAACTACTATGTAGTGCGCTGACCACACAATCGCCAACGGTAGGGAGCGGAAAGCTGCTTTCACGGCGCGATCTCTCACTTTTTTTGTCGGAGACGTTCGCAGAAAACACAAGCGGTGAACGCATGAAAGTAGGAATTTTCGTTTGAGCACCTCTTCGGGGGTCATGAGGTAGAACCGGCCGTAGACCCTCCCCCCTTCTTTCGGCGCAACCGACGCCACGCTGCCGCCCCACGGCGAAGACTTGAAGCCGAACACTCGCACGTAACCGTCGAGGTACGCGGGCCGCCCCCTGCCGGGAGCGTTGTGGAATCCAACCACGACGACGATGCGCGCAAATGCGAGATGTAAGAAAGTAAGTATAAAATGCAAGAACGCACAAGCTAGAACGCCAAGAGCATGCAAAACGCGCACGATCTTGCTATCGCTGTCCCCCTGCGGCAGACGTCGTGTTCAACTCTGAAAAAAAGGCCCCGGGCGTGTGTCCGTGCCCACGTGCAACTTTGTGGTTTGCACGACCGTGCTAAACAGCGTGACTTCGTGAGCAGAATCGTGCCTAAACCGATCACCGCGGTCTTTGCGACAGAGCAGGGCAAACCCGCACCATCATAAAACCACATGCGGTTCCTGATGAAATTCCCACGATGCGGTGCGGTTTTGTCAAATCATGGTGCGGTGCGGTATGTTTCTTCAACTCGAAATTTGACGGTGCGGTACAAAGTTTGTTTTTTCCTCGATACCTGACGGCGTGGTGCGGTGCGTTTACACCGTACCCCGCACCGTCTAGTAAGAACCGCACCGTGAATATCCCTGGACAAGCAAGATGTTATGGGACTTGAATACAAGAATTTGAACGGTAGTTCTTGGTACGAAAAGTAGGGTTGGAGGGAACTGCAACTCCCTCGTGGGATAGACTCCATAGTAGGGGATGAGCATATCTAATAGTCCCTCTCCGGACGTGGCGCCCCTCCCCCTATCTTTGCCCAGTTCACCACAGAGGGCAAGACAACAACGGCATGCATTGCCGGCCAAATATAAAGCTACAAGTATATAGATTTGTAAAGCCTTCGTCACAGCAGTGTCAAGAAATTTCCCGCGGCTGCAAGGAAACCACGCGCTGACTGATTCTGTCCATCTGTCGCGTCAGCTGTCGGGACTGCAAAGTCGGGCCTGCCGTGTCGTACACCCCGGTAGAGGACGTCAGCTTCAACCAAAAAACGTACACGGTGGCAAGCTGTTTCTGATCTGATGTTGAACCACCATGTGTCAACGTGTCAACACATGCCAACAACATCAGCTGAGCGTTGGCGCCGCAGCTGTCAGAGCGGCTGTGGAGCGAGCGTGTACCTGTGGGCTGGGCACGAGGGGGGGAAAGAGCATACAGCAGTAGCGTTCCCAGCGCATGTAAACAGCAAGGGAGTACAACCGAAGCAACTTCAAGTCACATTTTAATTTTTCTGTTCGGGTCTGCTGCCATATCTGTCAAACGGCGGAGACGTTGTGGACTGCTGTCTCATCTCGCCTCATCCCCACCGAATTTCGACACACATCATCATGCTACGGTCACCACCTGATATTGTTCGCACGCTGGAAAATCACATATGTACATAGTTTGTTCTTCGCTGCTGTTACGAGGGTGGGTGGGTGTGTGCGTGGCACCGCTTGATGACGCCGCTCAATCACTTCGTCGTTCTGCTGGCCATGATTCGACTGACCCCCCCCTGTATGTTAGTTTCCAGCAGCACTGAGCAGTCAAGCCATGTATGTCGTGGCGGTATCAGCAGTAGAGATGCAGAGCAGTGCACACATCTCCGTGCAGACCGTCGAGCGAGCCCGAGGTCGGGCGGTCGGCATGCGCATACGTATATATATTCACATCGATAAGGCTCTTCCCCCGTAGGCGATTGTCTCGTATTTTTGTGGTCGCGTTTGGCTATTTTACTGAAAATAGAGTGCAAGAAAAGCTAGTGTATCTAAATCGCGAATAAAATCGCCTACGGGGGAAAAGCCTGACATCGATCCGCGCGGCCGCGTCCATAAAAAAAAAATCCAGAAAATTGAACAAGGTTGCGCCGACCTCCCAAAAATGGCGCGAATCCTTTTAGTGTCGTACAGCAAATACGAAGTAAGTACATGTTATGTTATTTCTCTGCTAGCTTTTTGCATGTCCTTGCATCACCCCTTGCCGGGGTGCTCTCTTTACCCCACTCCGGAGGGAAGCCTTGTAATATTACAAATTGGCCTTCGTGAGGGTCTTTAGGGATTGCTACGCGCGTCAACCTCTTCTCAACACTTAGCGTCGTCGGCAAAGACGAGAGAGAACGCATGCCGCGCTGAAACAAGAAATCTAACCAAATCACTTCCTTCAGCAGTCTACCTTATCTGTGGATAGAACGGGCAACAGCAGTGTATCTGTTTGCTTGACCAAACAAACTGTCACATGCATAGGGGATGCATAGTCTAGACTAAATGCGCAAGACAAACAAACTGCCATATGCATAGACTAGACTATATATGCATAGTCTATGCGCAAGAAGAGTACTGCCTATGAAGTGCTCTGTATTGCTGGAAGTCACCCAACAGCGGTCATGTTGCATCAGATACCATACCCCAACGCCACAATTGTTGGCACCGCCACCGGCCTTTCTGCAGAGTACTCGAGCTTTGATAAACGGGGGGGGGGGGGTTCGTTCGGCAATGCTGCTGACATGTACCAGCAGCAGATCCGCTGCATCCGAAGGTACGTAAAAATCCAGCGGACACAAAATACATGATCCCCTAAAAGTCCTTCACACCCACCTCAGTCGTGGGCTGCGCACGCGTGCCCGCAGCTGCTGCTCGTTGTTGCTGCCATAGGAAAACATCCCTATGAATCTATCCTGCAGCGGGTCGTTGTTGTTTGCAGCAGCCATCGTGGTGTTCATGATTCCAAGTTTATCCTGTGCGATTACCAGAGAGGGATTTTCCGTCTCGCGTGATCCCAAACAAACGGTGGCAGTGGACGGGCTTAGAGAAGCAACACCAGTGCAAGCACAGCGGCAGCCTGCCTGCGGGGTCTATTGTATATTTTAGCCCCGCAGCCCGCGCAGGAGATCATATCAAGATGTCCCGCCCCGCCGCATACCACCCCCCGCCCGTCCCGCTCTGTTCATCTTCCGGCACCCCCCGGGCCGGACAACAGAACACTCCGAAAAACCACAACCAACACAAACACACAACCAACAACAAAACGCGCCAGACAGGCAGGGCAGAGGCCGGGCGGAAAACGTTAGATAGGGCTATTCTACCCCGGCGTCCTATCCGACAGGGGAAGACGGAACGAAGAGGCGTTTCGTCTGTGCTTAGGCATCCAACAGAGCAGGAGCCACGGCGGAGGGAGCAGCAGCAGCTTATACACACGTCAAGGAACCCTGCTGCTGTTTGTGTATGACAACTTCAGGTCCCGGATGGGTCGGCCAGGAATGGCTGCATGGGGAGATAGCTCCGTGGTTGGGAGCGGAGGAAACCCTCCGACGCACCTGCAGTGTGTGCCGAGCATGGCGACATTGGTGAGTGGCGGCGTGTAGCGGCAGCCGGCTGTGTACAACAATCCAACCGCGATTGCGCCGCCGATTTGACGGATGAACATATGCCAAAGCGGAGCCCAAAGCCATCGCGTGTTGGCCTGCTCTCTGAGTCGTGTTGTTGCTGCGTGTGTCACCGAGGGCTCTCGTAGTTCTTGTTCGGCACGTTAAACTCTCCGACGTTGCCCGTGGGTATTAGATTGTGTTGATGGCCGCTGGGCCAGCATGGTTGAACCCGGTGTTATTTTTTTCTTCTTTCTCGGTTCCTCCATGGTTCGAACTGCCGCCGATGTTGATGTTTGTGACTGTGAAGTCATACTTGTGGGGACAAGAGGCCGAACCAAAGCGTATTGTGCCTAAGTTACGGTCGTCTCCAACACCAGAAATGACACAAGATATCGCACCCACAGAAGATAGCACAACCCCAACACACCACTCCAGGGAAAACACAACAGGTCATACTTGGAAGTTTTTTGTTTTTTGGACAGAAAGAAATGTCCTTTCTCACTTTCTCACCCCCGTCACATGAGATAGCACCCCCCCACATCTACGAGATTGATTTTCTCTACATGACCCTCTCTCCCTCTCTCTCTCGATCTCTCTCTCTCTCCCCTCCCCCTCTGTCTCTGTGTTGGTCACGCTCACCGTCACCCTCCCCCTTCCTGTCTCCCCCGCTCCCTCCCTCTCTTGCCCGCCCGTCTCCTGCTCTCCCTTCTCCTCTCCGCCCCCTCCCTCTTTCTGTCCCTTTCCCTCCTTCCCTCTCTCGCGGCCTGTATCGGTCTCTCTGTTTCTCTCGGTGTCCTCTATATCTCTCTGTGTGTTGCCCCCCCCCCCAAAAAAAAAAAAA